ATTCTGTCCGAATATAACTTTACGATACACTTAATTTCGATATTCGCGCTAAAACAAACACTATAACGAACGAATGTTAACTTCAACAATACGTCTCTCTCTGACCGCAGTTCAATTACTCATTACCTACACACATATTATTATTCCGTCACGTTGTCACCCTCTTTTATATACCAGCTACCCTATATCTTGTAGTTGCTAGAGCATTCGCCAAGGTACAGGATAGTTCTAGAAACTAGAGGGCGTGAGAATAGTCACGTGATCTCGATGACGCAACAATTTGTTAGATGATAGATCTATCATCTATGCAATAGTTTAATACATTTTTAAATTTTTAAGAAATATAAATTTTTGTGTTTTCGCTCCAAATATAACAGGACCCCTTTCTCTAATAATTCATTTCTTTGTTTTCCACCTGTTACTATCCATTTTATTTATTTTTTTCTACTTTACATTTTTTGAAATATATTTTTAACGTATTACGTATGGAAGAAATTAATAAAGATTTAAATTTTGTTAAGTTCAAAGATTATAAAACACTTTTTTAATTGAAAGTTTCTAAAGAATCTTTAACACTATCCGTGACGGCCTATTTTTATTTTCTCAGTGATGGGGGGGGGGGGGCTTTCTGGCCCCTCCTTTTTTTTAATATCTAATATTTTTACATACTGCTAGTGAGAGAACCTGTTGTTAGATATTTGAATCCCACCACTGGTTATAACATTGAAATATCCCTGAACCTACCATTGTAGGATACTACTGCCAACTTTCATGCACAAAGTGCAGTTTTACAGCCATATATTTCATGTCTCCAAAGGAAAGATACAGAACAAAAATAGCTTAAACAAAATCAACTTAACGACTTTCTTGACCAAGTGTTATGCGAAAACTGCAACTATTTAGAATAAACGAAAAAATAATGAAAGATTCTACATAAAATAAGAAGGCAGAAAAGTAAGACAGAGATATGTTAAATGTGTAATATTGTTGCGTCATCGAGGTCACGTGACTGGTGTGGCGCCACCTATTTTCTAGAACTATCCTGTACCTTGGCGAATGCTCTAGTATTTACTAGATATAGGATAGCTTGGTATATAAAAGAGGGTGACAACGTGACGGGACAATAATGTGTGTGTGTAGGTAATGAGTAATTGAACTGCAGTCAGAGAGAGACG